TATGTGAGGGGGTATTAAAAGAAACTCTGATTATATGCACAGTCAAATGTATCAAATTCCAATTCACAATGAAGATGCAAACAACTTCTATGATTAAGAATATGAATCTAAGCAGCAAAATTTGATACCTAATGGGAAATGCATCTCTGCAAGTTGTGCTCACATTGGGGGGCAATGAACTTGTATATGTTTATGGAGACCGGAATGATGACTTTACACATACAAAAAAGAATTGGACTGATTAAAATTTAGACAATAAGAATTGAGCGAAGCAAGTAAAATAGGCATAAAGATTATTTGAGATTATGATATGATTTCAGATGATTTCATAAAAAGAAATCTATTTTAGAGAATTGTTCAGATTCATCGAGGCTTCAATTATTTTTCAAAGAGAATTAGAAAATAGCAGCTCAATAGCCTATAAACATAAGTTTAATAACTTGCTATCCAAAATCTTAATTCAGAAAAAGAAAGTGGTTCCTCATTAGATTTTTTTAAACAAAAACTATAGTTGTTTAAAACTTGATATTTTGCTTAAACTAACTCTTTGTTTAACCAAGCAGAATAATGAATAACATGAATGTATAAGAAAATTGCCTTTGTGCAAAAACCTCAAATTTGCAGAAATAACCCTATGCATCTCTACTTACACTGAAGTATTAGAGCTCTTAACAGTAATACAGTGTACATAGGCATAAGGTAATATCGGTCGACCAGAATCCTTTCTTAGGGCATCCTTCGAGCTTCTACTAACGGTCGACCAGAATCCTTTCTTCTTTGCAAAATCCCCTTCAATCTCGATTGAGAGAGACGGATTGATGCATTGTACAATCTTAGATTGATGCATTGTAAAATGCTATTTTTTCGGAGATTTAGTTTTATAAATTTACTGATTATGTGAAGTGGGGGTTGTCCCATTATTTTGATGCATTATATCTAGGTTAGTGTATTCTAGCTTAGATAGTCATTTGATTTGGATTTGATGCATTGTACAATCTTAGATTGATGCATTGTAAAATGCTATTTTTTCGGTTTCTAATATACTTACATATTATCGAAAAAAAAAAGAGAGAGACGGATTGCTGCGGGCGAATAGTAGCAATTTGTTTGGTTCATGGAGGTGAATAGGTGCTGCGGTGGGCGATGAGGTTGATAGGTTGAACTGCGGTTGATAGGTTCAACCGTTGAAGGAGGGGAAGAAATCGGAAGATGCAACAGATGGACGAGGAAGGCGAGATGAGAAGGCGAGGGCGTCGAAGTGAGGTGGTGGAAAAATTAAAGAAGAATCGATGGATACTCTAGAGTTCAGAATAAGCAGGAAGGCGATAAGAGATTAAGAGGAGTATGACCTGCGGGAAGAAGCGTAAGAAGAAAGAGAGCAGGCTTGAAGGTGTACCCATAGAAATTAAACAAAGTTACGAAAATGCCCGTGCGTATGAGCGGGAACCCACTTAACTCGATTAATATATATATATAGATATTAATAATATAATAATAATAATGATAAATAAAATAGATTAAGTTGTTATAACCTGAAAATTATAATTGGACTAATTGATTTATAAAAAAATAAATAAATTATTAATATAGGTGTTGATATTAAAGAGATTGTTACGAACTGAGATTAGTTAATTAATTATTTAATACCTTTTATCAGACTTGATTAAAATTAATAAAGGATTATTGTATTAATTATCGAATTAGTTTAAATAGCTTAAATAATACTATCGTATGAGATAATTGTTAAGTACGAACATATTTGTAATAAGGTACTCCCTCCGTAACTTAAAAATCTTCCCACTTTCCTTTTTCGTCCGTAACACAAAAATCTTCCCATTTCTAAATTTTCCCATCATACCCTCAATAATTCTTAAAATAATACACTATTACAACTACTTTTTTTGGATTTATCCTACATTCCACCACATTATTCCACTATTTTCCCATCATACCCTCAATAATTCATATCATCTTTCACTATTCTTAATCTACCTACTTTTGAAGTGAGAAGATTCTAAAGTTACGGAGGGAGTATAATTGAAGTAATTTGAATATGTTCATAATCCGTATATCTTAACAATATTAAAATATAGTAAATTAATTGGATGTTTTAGAGGTAGAATAAATTAATGGTGATGAATAAATTAAAAAGTTGATTAAGTAAATGCATTTCGGTTATTATAATATAATTATAGTATTCCAATAAAAGAAATCATGGCCGAAGTAATAAAGTGATTTCATTAATAAGAAGTGATTGAGAGATAAAATAAACTCGAATAACTAATTATATTAATAAATCCGAATAACAAAGTGAAAGGGAAAATCGAGTAAATTATTAAAAATAGAATAAGTGACTAATTATATCATCTTAATTAAAAAAGTGATTACTTAAAGACCAGAATAGAGGAGGAGAATTAGAAGCATCAAATTTGAGGTAAGTTTCTCTGCCGATCCAAAATGATTTCCTCGTACTATATGTTATTATGTGATTAAGTGTGAATTTTGAATTATGTGTATGTGATTTTGAGGAGATATTAGATCTATGGTATTTGAGAAGTGCAAACTAAGTACTTTTGGGTATTAAATATTTTTAAATACCTTTGATACTATTTAGAGAGATTGAGAAATATTTTTGGAAGTATATCTAAAGTCAAGATAAAATTTACGTTTTCATAAGAGGTGAGCACCCGGGAGAAATCCGTGGTGTCGGTTTTCCACATCCCGATAAATGTGGAGGGTGATTAAGGCCGCTACTACTAAGAAGTACAGTTTGAGTTTGAAGTGACATTTGGATCTATGATCTCTTTTAAGAAGAAGTTATAGCAGTAGTAGTCCCTAATCATTCAAGAATTTTAAAGGTGGGTAGTTGGTAGACTGAGTCCCGATTACTCGTGACGGCTTACTACTCGGAGGGCTTAGAATCGCTTTTAGGGGGTGTGCACACTTAAGGTAGTCGTTTCGTTTTCATTAGCAGTTGTGGTACCGGCAAAAGTCCCGGGGTGGCCGTACATAATAACGTAACCACCGGGCTCAACTAGAGTGTTGAGCACCGCCCTTCTAAATTACTAGGAAGATAGAGAAGAAGTGAATTTTGAGAAATTCTAAGAGAAGAGTTACTATAGTATTTTCAAAGAAAATTTGAGGACTTTATTAAAGAAGTGATTTTGAGGAATATCAAAGAGAAAAGAATTTTGGTGGAGTGTGTCATTTTTATATAGTATTATATGAAAAACTATTTTTTTGCCAAACCTGATTCTTTTACGGGGTTGGGTAGTACTTACTTAGCTCTAAAGCTAATTTTTGTTTCCTTTTCCCTGTTTTGTTTTCTGCACTTTATTTGTGCAGGTAATGATGCTTATTTAGATTGATGCTTTGCATGGTCTTGAGAACGGTTGAGATATGCCTTAGTCAAACCTAGTCAAGAATAAACACTTTAGTTATGTTGAACACTTGTTTTACTTTGTTTTGTTATTGCCTGTGCATTCGTTTAAGAGATGACTGGATGTGGCGGTAACACCCATTTCCCAATTAAGGTTAATTCCGCTGCAAAACTTTTTATCTGTTTTTGGATGAATAAATCAAGTTTATTATGAATAAATATATTATTTCAAGTATTATTTTGAGAGGGAAAATGGGGGTGTTACACATAATTACTACGCTTCTTGATATATGCACGACATTAAATACAAATTATTTACTGCATACTGTCTTCAATCCTGTTCAAGCTAGGGCTCATCTTCAACCTTTGGTTCGCCTTCAACCTCGACTGCCTTGACTGGACAATCTGAGTTGTTGAAGCAGCGGCCCAGTGCCATTCTTTGAGAACATTAATTACTAACCCTAGTTTCATTAAATAGAACCCCACAAACCATAATCTCAAGCGGAAAGCGAGTAGACGCGAGGGTCGACGGAGGCAACGAGGAGGCGATCGTGCGATGGGGCAGCGACAATGAGTGCAGGCTGGGCAAGGGTAGCGGCTAGCACGAGCTGGACGAAGGAGGCGAATATGCGGCGTGATGGCAGTGGCAGGCATTGGGAGGCTAGAGGCTAGGGTTGAAGAAAATGAGTAGGAGGTTAGAGTTTTTTAGGAATAACCTAAAGGGTATATTAGTCCATAAAAATTAGTTATTTAATTATTAATTACGAAATTAATTAAATATTACAAATAAGCTAACCTAATGTTATAAAAATGCAGGTATTGTCAAAAAGGCCCCAATCAAAAAATCAATTAGATCCTTGTATTTTCAAACATTCAATAAAACCTTAAGATTTTAAAAGACGCTTAATTGAACAATTTAACATGTGATCAACCGATTTCTCAGTTAACATGTAATCAACCTTTTTCTTCCGCTGGTTCTCTACTTGCCCGCTCCCTGTTCTCCACCGAGTTCATCCGCCGTCTTCACCAACCGCGGTTGCTACCCTGCTTCATCAATTATCGAGCATCGACCATCACCCATATCTTCCCCAACGCAAGTCAAACAAGAAATTTTTAACCCACTTTTGACTATCGCAATAGATAAATTAACAATTTCAAAATTATGGTGATGATAGAGAGCAAGAGAGGAAACCTCACAACAATTTCAATAATTCGAATAGAGATTCTAAAGTTTGGGATTGAAGGGAGGTTAAATTCACAATGTGTGGAGAAATGGGTCCTTGCAGATCGAAGTTTGAAGTCATGTGGGGAAGATGGCAGATGAACTCACCGGAGAACAATGAGCTGGCGAATAGAAAACCGTAGAAGAATAATGCAAACGGGGAGGGAGAAGAAAAGAAGAAAAGAATTTGACAGCATGGAACCAAAGAAGAAGGAAAAGGAAACACGCAGAAAGATAGAAGGGGATGGAGATAAAGAAAGAGGAACCAGTGAAAGAGAGAAAGTAAGAAGAACCAATGAAGGAAAAGTAATCAGGGAAGAAGAAAGGTAACGAGGAGAAAGAATGAAAAAGAAGAAAAAGGAAACAATTGTCACTTGGGCCACCACACGTGCAACTAAACGGGATTATAATTTGATCTGGTCTATTTCGGTCTGGGACAGATTATAATACAAGTAAAAACATCCTAAATCGTTGAATTGAACGTCTTTTAAAAGTCAATGATTTAGTTTTTTTTCTGGCGGGGGGTCACAGTACATATTTCATTGACTTTTTTGACATAGATTCACCCAAACCTTGTTTCTCTACTGCCTCCTCCAAACACTAAAAACTACACACACTAAATACTTGCAAGTGTTGTGACACGAAGGGAGGGTTGTTACACAAGTGCTAGACAGCAGGCTACATTCATCCAAACTGAAAAGTAACACTTTGATGACACACAGAAAAAAGACAAAACACACACTTTGGCAATTTCTCTACCACTCATCTTTTCTTAAAACCATACTTTTTACGCTCATAGAAAAGATCAGTCTTGGCACTCCCAAGATTGACTATTTTAGGGCAACCATCACGATCCTTCTCCTGCTGTGTGCATTCCTTGCAGTAGTATGCATCAGAAATCCCAAGCCCCCCACAAATGACACATCTGCCCTGGAAAGATCCATAGTTGCATTCATCGCAAACCCGGACAAGCGTGCAAGGACGCACATAAGAATCACAAATCACACACTTGCCATCACATTTCTCACAAAGACGTCCAATGGCTATTCCCGGTTGCTTCCTGCACATAATCAAATCAGGATGGTGCTTGGCCATACTTGATTATCCAACCAAACTCTACTGTTATGCCAATAAGAATATATGTGATGGATGGGCAATCTGCAGAAAACACAACTCATATAATGTGCTAAAAAAACATTACCTAGTTACCTACTAGAGAAGAAAGAAGACACAGTTTTCAGGGGGTGGGGTCTTTAAAGGATTGGGGATTGTTTGGATTATGGAGAGGGGAAAGAATGGAATGGGAGAAAAAGATAACTGACATGTTGCCAGTGTACGTAGCTGAACAGGTTAATATGCAAAGGTACCAGGGTTCAATTCTTGGGGCAACCATGCACCGCAATGGATATTTGTAAATACCATGTGCAGAAATCAGATTCTAGTATTCTACCAACCATAATATTGTGATTATAGTTCAATTAAACCTTTCGAATAAATTATTCAGCTGATTCTCAAGTCTTTGGAGGATAAGGTGCATCCTTTTTAAGATAATGCTCAAATGTAATCTTGATTGGTTTTGTTGGAAAGAATAATTGGATGGGTGGAAGGGATGCTTTAAGTTAAAATACAAGTTTTCCTTAAAAAAGACAAAAAAATGTTTGGTGTACACCTTTGGCACACTTGTCTGTCTACGGACAACTCTGTCTGCGTACACATACAAGTGTGACAAAGGTGTGCACAAAAAACGTGTACACCAAGCATGGCTCAAAAAAGACAAATGGGGTGAACCACAACACTAGGGGGATACTAAATTACTAACTCATAACTACGTGAACCGAATGAGGGAGATGGTCCATTCAACACTCCCTCAAAAAAAGTGAACCTGACAGACCCTTTGAAAATAAACTTCTCTTGTTTAAAATGCCAATTAGTGGCCTAAAATGAATATCGAGCGAATCAATGTTAACTTGATGCATACTAATGAACCATGTTGAAGTAGGTGGAAAGAATTTATAATATCAATTAAATGTCTAAAACTGGTTAACACTACGAGCCCGTTTGGTAGCACGAAAATCGGCTGTTTTGGCTGATTCGAAATTTATGAAATTCTGGCTGAAGTGGCTGCATTGGCTGATTCTGCTAATTTAAGAAAAAATCATTTTAAAAATATATTTTATTAATAAAACAAAGAAAAAATTACATGTAAAAATAACTAAAATGTTCATCTACAGTAACTTCAGCCAATACAGCCAGAAAAGTAACTCCAACCTTACTTTTTCTGCTTGTTACACAATTCAGCACGCGAAAGTAAAAGTTACGTTTTTTGGTGAAAAAGTTGACTGAAAAGCCTGATAAGCCGAAAAACAGTGTTACCAAACAGCCTCTACAAGAGTAAGGGCGGCTTCCATTTGTGGTGTGTGCTCAGCAGCGTAACTAAACCTGTCTTGGATACAATTGCATAGTTAAAAGTGGTTAACACTACAATATGCCTGATGAGTAAAGTCTTACTCCGCCAATGTTATAGGTAGAAGGGAAAATGGGGCTATTAGGTTTGGAGTCCGAACTTTTCATAAAAAATAATTAAATGAAATCTGAACACATAAAACTTGTTTCTTCAATGGAATGCAAAGCAATATGGTGAAAAAAATATCACCCCATATGTTATTTGAGTAATACTAATCCAATTCCTCGAACCTAAAGTCAACCCTAATGCAACAATGGTTTCCGAACCGGGAAAAAAAACGAACTTTACCAAATGGTAGAAAGAACGGAAATTGACAAAGGAAAGCTCATCGAACATAAGTCCGATTCATATGTCTTCATTAGCTCCATAACAACAGTAATGATAAGGTGTGAGATAATCTACGCAGAAGGAAGAAAACCCCTAAACCAGGCCCTGTAGTTCTTCATCGGCGCATGTTCAACGACAGTCGATGAAATCGGCGTAAAAGGATTTATACTTCACGAAAGCAACATATGTACTAGCATAGAGTACAAAAGCAGCAATTTACCTGAAAAATCTGGGCGAGTTCTGATGATTTGATGCAAACTACTGCGTAAGATTTGCCTGATACGGACTACGGAGTAGAGCCAACACAGTATAATCCTGCTTCAGCACGGCTCATGAATATGGGCTTGAAAGAAACTATACTGGGATTAATGAACCTAGGCCCGCTTCAATCCGGATTTTGTTTCGAAATTACCCTAACGGATTTTGGACTAAAAACGTTTATCCGTCCCTTATAATTTTGCTAACTTTCCTTTTTTGGTTGTCTCTCAAAAACTTTGTTACTTTTCATTTTAATCAATCAATTTGTGGCTCTAGTTATTTCTCTATCACACAGTTTTTACTTTATTGTTCTACGTGTAGGTCAAACTTGGCAAACCTTTAAGGGACAGAGGGGTATATATATTCCAAAAATAAGAGTAATTATTGTCATGTTTTGGCAATATTAGACTTTAAGAGCCCGTTTGGTAGCACCGAAATTGGATGTTTTGACTGATTCTGCTGAAATTTATGAAATTCTAGCTGAAGTGGCTGCATTGGCTGATTCGGATGATTTAAGAAAAAATTATTTTTAAAATACATTTTATTAATAAAATTAAGAAAAAATTATATGTAAAAATAGCTAAAATAGTCATCTACAGTAACTTCAGCCAATACAACCATAAAAGTAACTTCAACCTTATTTTTCTGCTTATTACACAATTCAGCGCGCGCAAGCAAAAATTAAGTGTTTGATGAAAAAGTTGGCTGATAAGTCTGATATGTCGAAAAATAGTGTTGTCAAACGGCCTCTAAACATGATAATATTATCCAAACTTGACAGTAATTACTCTATTTTGACAATATAAAGATGGTAGTCCTGTATTAGAATTCTCAAACATTTTTACTCCTACTTGAGAAAATTTTCCATTTTGTTTATTACTAGAGTAACACCCGGGATGTCGATACCATTACTTTCATATGAATTAAAATAGTAAATACTATCCTGCGTTTCTTTTTAATCGCAACATGTTGAATTTTGCACTATTCACATGCTCTACTTTGACTACATTTTACGCTATTATTTTATGAAAATTATTTTTTAAAAAGATATTGTTCGATTCATCTCATTACGTTATTATTGTTCGATTTTTATTTTTTTTTACTAATAGAGATTAAGATATAATTACGGTCAAAGACGTGCGTTGGCAAATATGAAATGTTGACCGTTGCAACTAAAAAAGAACGGAGGAAATAGTATGGAGTAAAAGATGTTATGAATTATTTAGTAATATTTTAATTGGGGTGGGTGCAAAAAATCGTAATTGTTTAACCATACCGGAAAAACTGGAAACCGTTACTTTTTTCGGTTAATTGGACTGGTTTTATTTAAATCATGGTATGGTTAACCGACTTCAAGGAAAAAGCGGTTTGAGGTTACGATTTTCAAAATATGCTATGGCCGGTTCTAACAGATTTTGACCGGAAGCTGAATAGTGTTGTGGAAAACAGCATGTTAATTAATGCTATAATGCCTGGATTAAATTTAGAAAAAATAATAAACATATTGTAGCATTAATGAGGTGCTTTTCTAAATAGTCTAGGATACTCACCTGCCAAATTTACTAATCTATTAAATCTTAGCTTTAACTAATACAATCATTTGACCTTTGGTATTCCAATGTAGACTTCAAATAAATGTTAATTGTTGGCATGCATCTAAGATGTTATCCCAATGCAACATCACATTTTTTATACAAATAATTCCATTATAGTGGTGAACTAGAGTTACTAGACCTGCTCAACATGGGCATAAAGTTAAAGATGAGCAGTGTGTGCTAATGAATGTTTTGCATTCATGAAAATTACTCAGTACAAGTCTAGAGTTGGCATTCCCTATCAAAGAATTAAGCTTTTTGTGGTACATACTGATGGGAAAAATAGCCACAAACGGTAACTAATAAAATGCGGAATTAATCTCCGTTTGGCTAAACTTTCCCAACTTGAATGAACCTTTGAGGATGCAAACAAATAGGGTGTTCTTAATGCAATTAGAACACACACAATATTGCTGCCATCCCAATATAATCAACTAAAGCAGTAAGCACACACCACACAAAAACACCGGAATTTTAGCGTGGAAAACCCGTTAACTAGGGAAAAACAACGGGACCATTTTGGTCGCTTAAATCCACTATCATCATCAAAGGAGCAATACAAAGTCTTCTATAGATATTACTAGAGGCATACAAAACCATCATATCCTTGGAAGTAAGCACATCAAGGTGTATGGAATCAAATAGAGCCAAGGTAAGAAAAAATATCACCAGAAAAATAGCTACTGTCCAGACCAACGAAACCCGACCTCCAGATTTCAAAACCCGATCTCCACCGTCCAGAATGTTGGCCTAGATTCTGTGAAGCTGCTGTCCAAAAATCACGACGATCCAACGGTTCAATCTTCAGGAACTTTTCTGCTACTGCCTGCTGGAAAACGAGATGAGCATTTCCGCTCATGTTTTGTGACTTGTTCTCTCTTATTTGCTGCTCTCTTTCTGTCCTCGTAATCTCAGATAGTGGCTGACCCCTTATTATTATTAGCTCCCAAAAAAAGAAAGTCAAAGAAGACTTTTAATGGGCTCAAAGTTGGGCTTTCCTCATGGGTCAAAAATAAAGAAAGAAACCCAACAAATCTCCCCCTTTTTGACTTATGAGGAAAAGTTCTCTATACCGGCGATGGAGCAACATACCTTCAACTTTTCCCTTGCAAGAACCTTCGTCAACATATCGGCACCATTATCATCGGTATGCACTTTATCAAGTTCAAACAGTTTGTCTTCAAGTGCATCTCTAATCCAATGATACCTCACATCAATATGTTTGGTTCGTTTGTGAAACATAGAATTTTTAGCAAGGTGAATGGTACTTTGATTATCACAAAGAACCACGTAGCGCCGTTGCATAAAGCCAATCTCTTGCATAAATCTTTTGAGCCATAATAGCTCCTTACACGCTTCTGTTGCAACCACATACTCAGCCTCGGTGGTGGATAAAACCACACACTTTTGCAGTCTCGATTGCCATGACAGAAGTGGATTTCATGTTGTCCTTATTTCCTGCCATATCAGAATCAGTATAACCAACAAGTAATTGCTTCCCATTTCCAATTGTTATGCCCAATTTGGAAGTACCACGTAGATATCTGAGAATCCACTTCACTGCTTCCCAATGCTTCTTACCTGGATTTGACTGAAAACGACTAACAACACCTACTGCATGGGCAATATCAGGTCATGTACACACCATAGCATACATCAAGCTCCCTACAGCTGAAGCATAAGGAACTCTATCCATCTCTTCAATCTTCTTCTCAGAAGATGGACAATCTTTATATGTCACCCTGAAGTTGGTAGTAAGAGGTGAACTAACCTCTTTAGCTTTGTCCATGTTGAATCTGCGAAACACCTTCTCAATGTATTGCTCCTGTGACATGTGTAGATTCTTCAAAGCTCTATCTCGAGTGATTCGAATGCCAAGAATCTGTTTTGCTGGCCCCAAGTCTTTCATAGCAAAAGACTTGCTCAATTGCATCTTCAGCTAAGTAATTCTTTCTGCATTCTTGCCAACAATTAACATGTCATCAACATATAACAATAAAATTGTAACACTGTCCCAAAATGATATTTACTTTTAAGTAAATAATGTATTGAACCTTATGGAATGGTCAATGAATTTACGAAGTTGTAAGTTTTTATTAATTTTTTGTGCGTGAATAGTAAATTGCACGTGGGGCCCACACCGGGAGCGGGGGCCACCCGATATTCCCGAGACCACATATTTTATTCATATTGGTCTAAATAATATTTATATAGTGGTGGATATTTTATTCAGGTCATGGGAAGGTCAAAGGGTTGACCGATTGGTCAAAAGAGGCCAATTGCCGGTACTGACAATATATGAGATAACAGCCCGAAAAATGAATTTTGGAGATTTCTAAATTAAAGTTTTGGAATATGTATTATTTCAAAAGACCGTTATGATGGAGAGTACATAATATATTTCATTTGGCCCGATAAAATAAAATATATTTAAAACAGTCCGAAAAATACAACTTTCGGGGCCCAATGTACATTTTGGGACACAAAGGGATGACCTCCCACATGAGTGGGGACCACCCCCACATTTTTGTGAGCTGGGATAGGCAAGGAAATGGGCTGGTTGACTTGTAAGGGAAGAGGGTGAGGTGATGAGCATCAAAGGTACACCGATGGACCCCATTCTCCCTCACTCATTGTCCAAGCAAGATAAAAGAGCCAACTCCAACCCCCCTCACCCCATTAGCTCGGCCAGACAATCCAAGGGAGAGAGAAGGAGCTTCAAACTCACCTCCATTGCTGAAAATTAGAGCTCAAGCTTTAGTGCTTAAAGGAAGAAGATTAAAGAGGGAAAAAGTTGGGAAAAGTGTGAACAATTAAGGTAATGACCTTATTATAACTTTTCCTTTATTTTTCTTCTACCGTATGAAGTGTATATCATATGAAGGACCCTTAGTATGGTTCCACATGTTATAAGTCTGGATTTATGGGTTGGAAGGTGGTTCTACGTCCAAGAACGGACTTAGAAGTCAAAACGACCGGTTCGCCGGAAAATCGCCTTTTAGAGGTTATTTGTATTAATATGGGTTTTATGACTATAAAACCTTGTTAGGCACTTGTAAAAGGCATTTCAAGAACTTTGACTAAGTTGAAAGAGTCGCCGGAGTTCATCAAAAGTCGCCGGAGTTTCGCCGGAGTTCAACCGAGAGAGGTAGAACTTCATAGCGCTAATTCGAGGTGAGTGGACGGCTTAATATCTTATAACTTTTGGGTTAATTATGAGATTACCTAAATAAATGTTATATGTGTTCATAATGATGTTTAAAAGATATTTAAACATGTGATTAGCCAACATGGTTAAGTTTGTATGAAAGGAATTAATTGTTTATGCATGAAAAATGATATGAAGAATTATATAAAATGCATATTTGCTTGAAGTGTCAGAGAAGCACAAATGAATATTTTTAACTTAATTATATGATGATTAAGTTGATACGTACAAGGCTTGAAATGGCGGCCAACGAAAACGTTGACCGATGGATAATGGATTAATTAATACCGGTTGGTATTAGTTAATTATAAATTTATATAAATGCATGGCTTTGTATGGATTGAGATACATAAGCTTTACGGATTGATTTAGCTATTAATGAATAAATATGATATAGGCTCTATCTAGGTTGCTAGGAGGTTGATCATAGGATTATAAACTTGGTGGAGGACCGTAGGACTAAAAGTCCTTAACACTCATATTTTAAACTTGGTGGAGGACCCTAGGATTAAGAGTCATTAACACTCGGATTATAAATTGGTGGAGGACCCTAGGACTTGAAGTCCTTAACACTCGAATTATAAATTGGTGGAGGACCCTAGGACTTAAAGTCCTTAACACTAGAATTATAAATTAGTGGAGGACCCTAGGACTTAAAGTCCTTAACACTCGGATTATAAATTGGTGGAGTACCCAAGGATTATGTTATCCTCAAAACTCATAGATTATGATATTGAAATATGGACAAGGAGGAGTCCTATACACTCATAGGTATATGGGTGGGTTGGGGTTTTTACTCAAGAATATTGACTATTACTATTTTCCCAAATAAAACGGTGATCTACGGATCAAATATTTTCCAAGTGTATACATATTAATAAGTATTTCTTAACTTGGGGGAAAAGGCTATTTATATAAGTATCACCCTATGTTTGGATCTTATACTTGAAACGCTAGTTATTCTATATTTAGCCTGCTACTCACTCGGTACTTGTACTGACCCCTTCGGGCGGGGGGGGGGGGGGGGGGGCACCATTTTCAGGTTGAAGCTAGGGCTTGCTACCTGCACCTTTCTACGGGTGACATCAAATTCAAGGAAGACATGGTTCGTGCTTCCTCATTTTCTTTCAAATTACTAAACATTGCTCATGGATATTTTTATCTGTTATAAACTACTTTTGGGCTTGCATGCCCATGTTATTGGCCGGATGTGGCTTATGAATTACCGCAGAATATTTCCGCTATTCAATGGTTTAATTGCGATGTTGTTATGTATGTTTACTACTGAGTATGGATGGATTGTATTCTCGAACGCCTTGTATGATTACGTGAGGTTGACCCGCGGGTGACGTCACTTGATTATACGGCGGTTGTACACGCGCTTAGATTGCGGTCTGGGGCATGACAATTAAGTGGTATCAGAGCCATCTCAGTTCTAAAATATATAATCAACCTCTCACAGGAAATTTTACAAAGGAGTTTTTACCGAAACCATGAGCATTGTATTTTGACGTTTTATAGGACTATTGGTGCTTAAGTTACAAGGCCTCTAATTGTTAAGATGGTACCCTTAGCAATTAGAATGGCAGTGACTTGGGCCAATATGTGTCTATAACGTTTTCCGTCAATTGACATTGATAGGAGTCTAATGACTCGTCCAAATCTCTTTTCAGAAATGGAGGGTAAGCGAATGGTAACCAGGAACAACCCGAGGGGGCAAGCTCCGGTAGCATCCATGAGGGGTAGCCGGGCTGCGTCACGGGGTTCAAGAGGAGGTCGTGGAGGCCGTGGTGGTCATCGGGCTGAAACTGTGAGCGATGGCCACGTTAGTTCGGTGTATGAAACCAACACCGAGGACTATGACTCTACATACGTTCCTGAGACGGAACATGAGGAGACCCCATACGATGGGGATGACACGTACACCGACGATGACGATGAAGAGAGTGATGCCAAGTTCGCCCAAATGGGCGAATTGCTTGAGTGGTATCAAAAAGGGAAACTGAGGAGAGACCTTAGGCGCCAAGCAAGGCGTGGCTCTCGGGGTGGTTCGGGTCAAGGAAACCGGGGAGCTTCAAGGGCTACTCCAGCAGTGGCACAAAGTGGGCGTGAAGGGGGGTTTTGTGTGAGAATCTCCAAGTACCTCAAGGAGGCTAAGGCCTTGGGGTGTAAGTCCTTCGACGGCACCAGTGACATTACCGTTGCCGCCGATTGGATAAAGAGGGTGAAGGACGCGGCAAAAGACATGCAAATTACACCGGAAGTGAAGTTGACTGTCGCTTCACGTCTGCTTGAGGGGATAGCTTCCACGTGGTGGGAGAATGTAGAAGGGAAATACCGTGGGGAATTAAATTTTGAGCAGGAATTATATGATCAATACTACACTGACTATGAGAAAAATGTCAAGCATAGGGAGTGCACCAACCTCAAGCAGAAAGAGGGTGGTTCTGTTAAACAACTGGAGCAATATTTTAGAACCTTGGCTAGGTTCTTGCCGGAGTACGCGATCAATGAGGACCGCATGTCAGAACACTTTTGGGATGCCCTACTCTTGGACATCCGTGACCAAGCTACGTACTCTCGCCACATAACATTTAGCGAGGTGGTGGAACAGGGCCTACTTGGGGAGGCTCAGTGGAATGAGAGAAAAGAAAGAGACGCCGAAGAGGCGAAAAAGAGGAAATGGCATAGTTCGGGGCCACCCGAGCAAGCTCAAAAGAATAACCACGGGGGAGGTGGTGGTACGTTCAAGGCGCCGGCACCACCGGCGAAGAAGAACAAGGATGTTCGGTGGCACTCATCCTCCTCTCAAAATACGGGGCCTCCTAAGTGTGTCAACTGTTCAAAGAATCACTTCGGGAAGTGCAACGCACCCCCGAGGTGTTATCAATGTGGGAACACGTGCCAAATGAAGGCCAATTGCCCACAATTGGGGGGAGGAGGAGCTACGGGGACCGGAGGAGGAACCATGACGAGAAGAAACTGTGTGGGACCATCAAACGGTGGCACGGGAAGAGGTGGCACATCAACGAGCCATGCCACATCCACGAGCCATGCCACATCCGTCAACCAAGGTGGGACCCAAGCACGAGTATACGCAATGACCGAGGCGGATGCGCGAGCAAACCCGGACTCCGTTGCAGGTAATACACTTATTTCTAGTATTTCTAGGCTTATTATGATCATATAAGTCGTTGGGATTGAGTGCGGGCCACCCCGGGGTCGAACCACGAGAAATCGGGGCGAAACGGGTTGGAAACGGCTACGCGCGATTGCACATACCCCTGGACGCACGACCGTGCGTACGAGGCAATAGCCTCCAACCTTTTCTCGCGCAGACGCACGACCATGCGTGCTGGTAGGCACGCCGTGCGTAGGACGCACGATCGTGCGTGACCAGCTACGCACGACCGTGCATCACCGGCAGTGGCCAACTCCGATCCTCCCACGCACGCACGACCGTGCGTACCCCTTACGCACGCCGTGCGTGGACCCCCGGCAATCGAAAACTTATTTTTTCGCTCCGTTCTTCTACGTTTGAACCCCCGTTTGATTCTAAACATTAGTATGAACCTAATAACCTCCTAAAAGTGTGTAAAAACATTAGAAAAGGTATCTTACATGGTGTATAAATGTAGGAACATTAAAGATCAATGGTAGGTGTGCGAGGATCCTCATCGATACCGGGGCACAACGCTCATTTGTGAGTGAGGCGTTCGCCGAGGGTCTTGACGTGCTATTGACGCCTATGACGCAAACATTGTTAGTCTCCACACCGTTAGGAGACGACGTGGAGAGAAATCATTACTATCCATCATGTGAGGTGGAAGTGACGGGTCAACCCTTGACTTGCGATTTCGTACCCCTAAGCATGTTGGAGTTCGATGCTATCCTAGGAATGGATTGGCTCGAGAAACACCATGCTCGAGTAGATTACTACATTAAGGTGTTGGAGCTCGAGGATGATAAAGGGAACACTTTATGCTTCAAAGGAGATCGGGGAAAGTCGCATGCATGTATCATATCCGTGATGAGAGCACGGAAGATGATGAGGAAGGGATGCCACACATACCTTGCCTACGTGGTGGACGATACCAAGAAGGAAATCGACATCAATGATGTACGGGTCGTGTGCAAGTACCCGGACGTCTTTCCCAAAGACCTACTAGGGCTTCCACCCGAAAGAGAGATCGAATTTGTAATTGAATTGGAGTCGGGAACCAAACCCATTTCGATTCCTCCTTATCGAATGGCACCGGCCGAACTTCAAGAGTTGAAGGTCCAACTACAAGAATTATTGGATAATGGGTTCATCAGACCCAGTCATTCACCGTGGGGAGCACCCATACTCTTCGTGAAGAAGAAAGATGGTACACTAAGAATGTGTATCGATTACCGACAGTTGAACAAGGTCACCATCAAAAACAGGTATCCCTTACCGAGGATTGATGACTTGTTTGATCAACTTCGAGGGGCAATAGTATTCTCGAAGATTGATTTGAGGTCGGGGTATCATCAGTTGAAGATCAATGAGAGTGACATACCTAAGAGTGCATTTCACACTAGATATGGTCATTACGAGTTCCTTGTGATGTCATTTGGTTTAACCAACGCACCGACAACATTCATGGACTTGATGAACCGTGTGTTTAGTGAATACTTAGATCAATTTGAGGAGGAGCACGAACATCATTTGAGGCTTGTACTTGATCGGCTAAGGGAAAAGCAACTCTTTGCCAAGTTCTCTAAATGCGAATTTTGGCTCAAAGAGATTGGTTTCCTCGGTCATGTCATATCCGGTTCGGGCGTTGTTGTGGATAACGCCAAGATAAAAGCTATTATGGATTGGGAGAGACCCAAGAATGTGAAAGAGATACGTAGTTTCCTTGGCTTAACGGGATACTATCGTAAATTCGTTGAGAAATTCTCCATATTGGCGTCTCCATTAACGAAGCTCACAAAGAAAGGGACCAAGTTCATATGGGACGACAAGTGTGAGAAAGGGTTCCTTGAACTGAAGAAACGACTTACCGAAGCATCAGTCCTCGCCCTACCCATACAGGGGATAGGGTATGATATTTACAGCGATGCTAGCATCCAAGGGCTTGGATGTGTACTGATGCAAAACGGTAAAGTGATTGCCTATGCTTCTAGGCAATTGAGGAAACACGAGGTGAACTACCCTACCCATGATCTAGAGTTGGGGCGGTAGTGTTTGCACTGAAGATCTGGAGGCATTATCTCTACGGAGAGACATGTCACATTTATTCAGATCATAAGAGCTTGAAGTATGTATTCACTCAAAAAGAGTTGAATGAGGCAGAGGAGATGGACGGAGTTGATAGAGGACTATGACTTGATCATCGACTACCATCCAGGGAAGGCTAACGTCGTGGCCGACGCACTGAGCAGGAAGAGTACGTCGGGGACGCTACTCACATGTCTACAGGCATTGAGGGCACGTGTGGAGGTGTCCACGTGCGGGACTCTCATTTCTCGATTCGAGGTTAGGCCTACCCTATTGGGTGAGATCAGTAGAAGTCAGGCCATTAATGAGGAATGTCAGAAGATCCGTGAACGGATCCTTGAGGGACCCGTTGAGAACTTCCGAGTATGTGAGTCGATGTCTTGCTTGCCAGCAAGTTAAGGCCGAGCATCAGCACCCGGCAAGGCTTTTGCAGCCACTCACCATCCCAGAGTGGAAGTGGGAGCACGTGAGCATGGACTTCGTGGTGGTGCTACCACGAACAGTGAACAACTATGACGCAGTTTGGGTAGTGGTTGATAGACTCACCAAGAGTGCACACTTTTTGCCTATCAACATTACTTATCCTCTTGAAAGATTGGCCAAGCTATACACGGAGGAGATTGTGAGATTACATGGAGTCCCGATATCCATCATCTCGGATAGGGATCCACGATTTACATCCCGATTTTGGCCAAAGTTTCAGGCATCGTTGAGAACTAAACTGAAGTTTAGCACAACTTTTCATCCACAGACGGATGGACAGTCCGAGCGAGTGATACTGATTTTGGAAGACATGCTTAGGGCATGTGCTCTAGAGTTCCAAGGAAGTTGGGACAAACATTTGGCTCTAGTGGAGTTTGCCTATAACAACAGTTACCAGGCAAGTATCGGCATGCCTCCATATGAGGCATTGTATGGGAGGAAATGCAGAACACCATTGTGTTGGGATGAGGTTGGAAAGGCCAAACTCAAAGGAATAGAACTGGTTGAGATCACCAAGGCCAAGGTGAGGGTCATCCAGGATAGACTGAAGGCTACTCAGGACCGACAGAAGAGTTATGCTGATAAACGGCGGAGACCGTTGGAATTCGAAGTCGGTTATGAAGTTTTTCTAAGGATTTCTCCTTGGAAGGGCATCATTCGATTTGTATCGAGGGAAAAGCTTAACCCCCGGTACATCGATCCATTTATGATTCTTGAAAGGATTGGGGTTGTGGCTTATCGTCTCAAGTTAACACCTGAACTTGAGAAGATACATGACGTGTTTCATGTATCGATGCTCAAGAAGTACATACGAGACCCATCTCATATTCTTGAGAAACCGCCGATAGAAATCCGTGAGGATTTGCAATATGCGGTAGAGCCGGTGGAGATAGTAGGTCAACAGGTGAAGAAGCTTAGGAACAAGGAGATTCCTATGGTAAAGGTCTTGTGGAGAAGTGATCGGGTCGAAGAAGAAACATGGGAGACCGAGGTCTCAATGAGGGAGCAATACCCGTTTCTTTTCGATTAGACACGTGGATTTCGGGGACGAAATCCCAAATAAGGGGGGGTGAACTTGTAACACCGTCCCCAAATTATATTTACTTTTGAGTAAATAATGTATTGAACCTTATGGAATGGTCAATGAATTTACGAAGTTGTAAGTTTTTATTAATTCTTTGTGCGTGAATAGTAAATTGCACGTGGGGCCCACACCGGGAGCGGGGGCCACCCGATATTCCCGAGACCACATATTTTATTCATATTGG